TTATAGTACTAAAGTGAGTTTTGCTGCCAAATTCAGAGGAGATATTATGCATTTTCCCTTTCTTTTTTAAGAGTTAAACAATATGATTTTCGATTAACATTTTAATATATATATATTAATCATGTTGATATGAAAAAGGTTGTAATTTATTGTTTTCTATTTTATAATTTTTGAATATTTAAAATTTTATTTTAAAATATCAAATTAATGTAATCTAATTTAATTTTAAAAATTAGTTAAATCGACTCTCAAAAACAATATATAACAATTAAAAAGAAATAGAGGAAGCAAAACGAACGGAGAGTAGAATCTACAAAAAGATCTTCACAACTAAGCCCAAATTAGGGGTGATCATGATATGGTATGGTACAATATTTGAAAGTTCCAATATTGTAATTTTGATATTTGATTTCTAAAATGTTATATCATTATCATACTAATTTAAGTCGATGTGGTTCGGTATATTGAAATTCGATTTTTATATTTTACGGTATGATAAATCGGTAATTATAATTTGTTCAACTTTGTCAAATATATGTTTGTTATAATAGAGTATTATTTCGCAATTAAAAAAAGTCTCAATTATATCATATTAACACATTACCGTAGAAATATATATACAAAATAAAGTACAAACAACTCATTTTGTTGGTCAATTACAATTCAAATATATTTTAATCAAAAAGAGTAGTCAAAAAGTATAGCTTCTAAACATTTAATTTATACTAATACTCGATTGCATATTTGTTATTATTTTAATAATGTATATGTTATTTATGTATATCTACATATCAAATACCGTATCGAATATAAAGATTTAAAAAAATTAAAATATATATCATATACCACACCAAATACCATTATATCAAAACTACAATATTAAATTTTTTGATATAATATATATGATATTTCAATATATACTATACCAAGTCTATCCCTAGCCCAAACTCTTTTTTCATTATTCTTTATCTGTTTTGTAATTAAAAAATATTGAAACACAGATTTACAACAAGGATTATAAGACTTAATAATTGACATGACTATTAATGATAGCTAAATTATTTTTTGATGGTAAACTTTTGTTATGATCGAAATAATTAGGTGTAATGTGAAAGGTAGTAAAGTAAACCTCGAAAGATTACGAGTAAGAAGACAAACAAGAAATATATCAAAAGACACAAAGATTTAACGTGGTTCGATCAAGCGACCTTCATCCACAAAGGATATGAGCAATCCACTTTATCAATATGAGATTACAAAATATAGAGAGAAATAACCTCAACCAATTGACTCTGTATACAAGGAGGTTCACAAATTCTCTCCCGTAACAAAAACCCTTAAGACTACATTGTGAATGTTGATTAAGTTAGAAGAAACAAATATGGGTGGGCATTCGATTCTTCGGTTTGGTTTAATTAAATTTCAGTTCGGTTCTTCGGTATTCGATTTTAGAAAAGTGTGCACCGTATTTCAAATCAAACTAGACCGATTCAGTTTGATTTTTTCTACTTCGATTTGATTTAGTCTGGTGTTTTTAAATCAGTTTTTAGTGTGAATAAACTTAAAGAGAGAATGTGATAAAGTAACAATTGTTGTTCACTTCACACTTCAAACCTCATAGTAACAACTAACGGTTTAACAATAAAAGGTAAGAATATTAATTTGTTGTTCACACATTCAAAGTAACAACATAAAATAATAAAATCATAAAGTAGAAAGTAGAAACACCGAATTGTGGCTCAAACTTGAATTGAATTGAGTTATGTTTAGTTTAGACTTTAGGTCTATAGGGTTTACTATTTTGTTGTTTAATTTTTTGCTATTTAAGTTTAGACTCTAAATATAAAAATTGAAATAAGTAAGTAAAGTTAAAAATTAAGTAATGTAATAAATATTTTAGAATTTATTTAATAAAACTTCGATTCTTCGGTGCACCGTAGTTTCAGGACCCTTACACTGAACTTCGAATTGAAGAATCGAAGTTTCGGAAAAGAATCGATATCGAACCGAAACACCAAAGATATCCTAATTTTTCAATTGGTTCGGACTTTTAATTTTTCGATATTTATGCGCTCCCCTTTTCTTACAAAAAAAAAAAAGACCAGTCAAATCTTAAACCTTTTCCTAAAAAAAAAAACTTATTTACGGCAAAAAAAAAAAAAAAAAACTTAGGACAATTAATATCCAACGGGCAACAACTTTCAGTCTTCATATATTAAAATTATATATTTTATAATTATTTTCTATGAATATTTTTGTATTCTACCTTTAAAGAAAGCATAATATGTTATTTTCCAAAATATTTCTCTCTTTCTTACTAATTTATTTTATGTTGCATGTAATTTTTTAAATTACTATTTTATTTATTTCGTAAAATTTTAAGATAATATCTCAAATGATCACTTAATTATGATTTTTTCTCAAAAAATTACTTAATTATGAATTATTTTCTCAAAAAATCACTCAATTTTAATAAAGTCACTCAAATATGACTGTTTTACTTTAATAGTCGTTCATCTATTCAATATTTTTTTTCAAGTTAAAATTTAGTTGCATCAAATTTTTGTTTCTTAGTAAAAAAGTTTGTAAAAATAAATAATTATCCATTTGAACTTGCCAATTATACTATGCTTAAATAATTGTCTAACACCGGCAGTATACTATGCTTAAAAAATTATCTAACATCGTCAGTACTCAGTACACTATCCTTAATTTTTTTTCAAACTGTAACGATGTTCCTATAAAAACACAGATTAAACAGTACAGATGCATATCGGAAGAATGGGTACTATTATAAAAATAAAAAAAATACATCTAAGATATGAATTAAATTGATTTGACCTCTAAGATTTTAGCATTGAAACTCTAAATTTTAAAAATTATAGGTCCAACATATATAATACTCCTACTTTTAAATTTAAATATACACATATGAGTTAATTATATAAAAATTTAGCATTGCTCTTTTTTTTTTTTTAAATTTCCAAAATGTAGCATACTTGAAGATTTTAAAAGATTAAAGCAAAAAACTTAAGAAAAAATGATTGAAACGCTAAATGCGTTATCATTAACCACTTTGGAGGAGTGTCACAAAAAAAAATAGATATAAAATTACGTTTCTATCTTTACTTAGAGAGGTGCACCAGTCATCATGGTATTATTATATGCTATTTTTAATGTGAGTTCACACCTCTATATTTAACTATTTTTTTTAATTAACTCTACTATATATGATCTAGAGAGAAAAATATAGGTTCACGTAAACTCACGAAACCCTTTCTTAGTACGCCTCTAATTAAACACAGTGTAGGGAAAAATCATGAAATATACCGAATTTAAAAGTTCTTAAAATAATAAAACATACTTTCTCCATATCATTTTATGTGACATTTTTCGCATTTCGAGATTTAAATAAGTCTATTTTAAACTGTAATTTTTTCATAGATCTTTTTAACATTTTGAATTATCAATTATTGTGACTTATAGTACTCTTTACGTAGTTTACAAATATATAATTTTCATTTCAAAAAATTGAAGATTTTATCCGTAAATATCCGATCAAAAATGGGACCGAAGGAGTAACTATTAAATCTGGGGCAAAAGGTAAAATAAAAGGATCATTATTATATTTTTGACGGATCAAGTTAAATAGGCGGATCATCTTTTTACAATTTTAGTTAGAAATAAATAATTTTTTTCAAGTAAATTTTATATTTAAAAAATTAAATGAATAAGTTGAGTGATTTTGTAAATAGAAAATTCATAGTTGAGTGACTTTGTAAGTAAAAAATTCATTATTAAATTATTTTTAATTAAAAATCAAAGTTGAATTACCTTTCCAAAAAAATCATAATTAAATGACTTTTAAGCTAAATATTAAAATTTAGTGACTTTTGACAGTCCAAGATATTACCTCTAAAAGTTTTTCATTCAATTCAAGTTTTGTCGTTTATTGAAGATAGAGAACAGCTGAAATTGTATGTGAAAAGATTTTCGCTGTTAGAATTGTTAATTTGTTACAGTAATTCACGGTAAATTCATTAAAAAAAAATGTTTGCCAATAGATAATTCTTTTCCTAAATTTATAACATTGTTTATATATTAATTTTATATTTTTTAAATAATCGCGCAATTTACTAGTTATAAAAAATAAATATGAACTTATCTTTTATTTATAAAATGTGAAGTATATAAGTACCGTTATTTGATTATAAACCACACATAATTTTTGAAATTTAGTTATAAAAAATAAATATGAATTTATTTTTTATTTATAAAATGTGAAATATATAAGTACCGTTATTTGATTATAAACCACATATAATTTTTGAAATTTTTATTTAATTTCAAAATACTCTAACTTATCAATAAATAATATATTTATAAAATAATAATATTTCATGGTATCAATTACAATCTATATTAATTTCATGAAATTTTAGTGTACATATGGTTTATTAAGTTGGTAAATACTGTTTGTCCTCTATAACTCCCAGGAGAAATAATATATTCATTTCGTTCATTATTCTAAAAATACCTTTCTATTTTTATTTTGGAAGACTTAAAAACTAATATTAATTTTATGATAACATTATATTTTATCCGTCACTTTTAACTGTTATGTTGCATTTTTTTAAAAATCTAAATTATATTAGATTAATTTAATATTTTAAATAAAAAATTTAAAAGATTCAAAACTTATACTAAAAAAAAGTATACGTTATAATTTCTACAGATTAAGATGATAAAAAAAAAAAGATTGTATAATATTTGAGTCTGAAAAGGAGGGAAGTATGAGAATTAAAAATAGATATATAGTTAATGAAATGTAAAATGAAGAAATAAAAGTGACGGAGGGAGGGTGTAATCATATAAGACTATTGATATTTGACTATTGAGATTTGACAAGTTGATAGAAGTTGGTGATTAACTTTTTGTTTTCATGCTTTGGAGTTGCTTCTCTCTCAAAACATTGACAATGTGAGTTTTCGATTATTAATATTTTTTACTTTTCTAGAAAAATAAAAAAAAAAAGTAGATGGAAAGGGCTAATACACTTTTTGGTTCCATAGTTTGAAATTATATGCATGATTTGAATGACTATGTTGTATGTACGTATGAACATGACTCTTCATTTTCTGTTTTTGATTTTGAAAAATATTCCTATTTCTCCTTCCTCTGTTTCAAACGCCAGCCAACTATCTGCTGAACAAAGAAATAATCATATGTTTACTGATAAAAATCCTATGTTTTACAGATTACCGCTATTTCTTCAATTAACAAACCTTTGAAGTCGGAAGGATAAAGATAACAACAACTCAAAGCAAGGAGAAGAAAAAAAAAAACAGTAAGACAATATATCTGTTACTAACTTGCTTATATTAAATTTTATCCAAACACGTTGAAAGTCTTTTGTTGATCAATAACATAGTAGATTAGAGTTTCTTACTTTGAACAGAAACCGATTATATTTTCTTTGTCACGTGTCGCATTTGGAGTCTGTGTGTTCTGTTCCCACTGGAACCATTTGGGTCTGTATATCAAGTTATGATCCTTTTTTCCTCAATCTATCAATATTTGCTGCTCGAATTTAGCGTTACACAAACTACTTTCATATGTATCTGTTTTCCATTAGTTGTATAATAAAAAAGCTCTTTTGTTATGGTTTGATTTTCCGGCTACTGGATCCATTTATTCATATATCTACTACTACACACCGCTTATCTTTGTATTTCTTCTTTGCACTTTAACTATATTGCAATGTATACTATGCCTGGAAATACATAGATATCTAGTTTTGTTTAGAGAAATGTATTACTATGACTTTTGAGAAAATCTTTTTGGTTCCTAAAACTGAAGGTATGATGAATATGTGTTTGTGGAAGGAAAAAATGGAGGGCAGCAGGTCCAGGTTGATGGAAGAAAAAAGCAAAAAAAGATCACTTGATTGGGAATTTGATATAAAAAGCATGGCAGAAGATATAAATCTTGTTTTGAAAACTATGGTTTGGATTCTAGGAAATCATAGAAACACAACTATTCTCCAATTTAAATTGTTGTTGAAGAGCTTACAAATTCAAAAACTATTCATGACCCTTGTTCTTAGGGTTCTCAACAAGGTATAAATTCAATGTCTCTTCTCTTTAATTTGTCTCTTTTTATATGCACAAAATTCATCCATTACTCGTATTGTTATCTTTAGGAATATGCTTCTGAACAAGAGACATTGAATAAGATTTGGGATTTGAAGGCGGAGCATATGAAACTGATTACGGATGCACGTGCTGATTTGAACAAGGTACTCAAAATTTATTAGAAATTTGAAGGAGTAACAATGTAACAGTTCATCTAAACTTATTTACTTCGTGGGACTAATATATGAATGGTTTATAAAGATGTGGAATGACAAACGGAAGCCGAAGAGGAAGAGGAGGAGGAAGATGGAGAAATTAGTTGAGGATGATGAAAACAACAACATTATTGATCATGATGGGAATCAACTCGTTCTCTGTGTTGAAAAATTGCAAGAGTTACAAGAGGAGTTGGAGAAGATTAACAAAGAGGCGAGTCGCGAGTTGTTGAAAGTTGTACAAAAGTACAATCCGATTCGTCAACCCTTCTATGAGAAGAGAGCAGATATTATTAAAGATATTCCTGGTTTTTGGTCGAGAGCTTTCCTGAAGCATCACTTACTTGGTGGGCTTGTATGTACCGAAGAGGACCTCAAGATTTTCGAGTTTCTAAGATCAATCGAAGTGGAAGTTTCCCAAGATGTCAAATCAGGTTATACCATTATCTTCAATTTTGATTCAAATGAATATTTTGAGAATACAAAGCTTTGGAAGAAGTATGGACGTACTAAAACTACTGCATCGCCAATACAATGGGCACAAGGCAAGATAGTTGATGAACAAAGCTTCTTTAAGTGGTTCAGCGAAGTTGATAATATTGATGAAATCGGTGAGATAATCAAGGATGATCTGTGGTCCGATCCTCTCTTTAGTTTTCGATATGAGGCAGATGAAGAAAATGTTGATAATGTGGCAGTGAAGAAATATGAAGATATGGTAGTGAAGGACAGTGAAGATGTAGAAGAAAATGATTAGAGGTTTGGTCCTTGTTATTCAAATGCCTTAGAAATGGTTTTGAACTATTCACAAACTTGATTATAGCGACACTCTTCATGTGAGTTTACCTTACTATGTTGATAATTTTGTATTAATCTGTCTGAAGGTATATTTTGTCCATAGAAAGATCAGTACAACAGTTCATTCGGATGTGTGATCTCATTTCCTTAGCAGACTAACATATAGAACTGCTGAATTAGTTTGTGGTGAGCTCGCTGATTAATCTGACAATGGACTACATTGTAGCACATTACAAGTATCTCTTACGGTTCTTTATGTACAGTATTGTATGTCTTACATTGCGCGCACATGCAGTTTATTTATTTGATGTGATTTTTAACACATAAATCAGGTTATAGTTTCTCACTGAAGCTGGTTACACTCCTGGCTAAAATGATAGTAAGTTTGTCATAGATGTTACAATGCTGTCCAAATAAGTCGTTTTTAACTGGAAATTAGATACATTTTTTATGTAATATCAAAGATAGAATTTGCAAGTTTATTTTCTTTCAATACACTTGATATAATGTTAAAGTCTTGTTGTTTTGAAATATGACAAAGTTAAGGAGTTTGTACAAGTAATATGGCAAAAGGGTGAAGATGTGTCTTATCTGCTGTGTTCGTAATGTATGTTTGTCATCATCAAAAAGAGGGAATTTGTTAGAATGAGAAAGATTTTGATAATTGACAAATACAAGAACAGATGAAAGAAACAGGTTGCTCGACGTGTTCCTTACAGACTGAATATGACTTGGATAAGGAGAACGTCAATCTCGCGAATTAGAAGATATAAAGCTATGAAAATATTGATTTTTTCAACAACAAACAGGTACACAAAGTTTCCTTTCATAAAAGAGTTTGCAACCAAGTTGAAAAAGGAATTTGCAATCAATAATGTTTTCTTATTTAATTAAGGAAATTTTGTGGAAGGTTTTCTTATTTAATTAAGGAAATTTTTGTGGCAGTATATTATCTAATCCAAGTTGACTTCTACAAAGTCTTGATGCAGCAAAGTTAAAGTTAAAGAATGGTTCGAAGTTCGTGTCGCAGCCTAATCTGAATAGGAGAAGGAGTCGAGTTTTTGTTGTTGTGCAATCTGATTATAAAGGAGACTGTTTTGTTGTCTATTTAAGGACAAATTCATGTAGGAGAAGGAGTCATGCATAGACAAGGTCTCCTTGATGCGACAAAATTAAGTTCGAGTTGAACTAGGAGTTTCACACAAAACAAGAGTCCTATATGAAGTAGGATTTCTAATTGAAATAGGTTTTGGATTGAAGTCCAAATCTATAAATAGGGCGATAGATTCGCTTGAAGAAAATTGCGCGCTTACATAGAGAGAAGATCAAAACACGATCAAGAGGTTTGAAAGAGTTTTGAGATTTATTGGGAGTGCAGCAATTTGTGAGGAAAAATTGTAAGATTGTATTCAAGAGTCTTGTTTACAATCTGAGTTTTGTGAGTAGGAGTTGTTCGACAAGTTGTAGAATTTGAAGAAAATTGAAAGATATAAAATCAGGGGGTTTTGTGTCCTTGGGTAGCTAGAAATTAGAGTTTATAATTCCTCTAGGAATTAGAGTTTATAATTTCTTAGGTTATATAGCTTTGTAATCTTTTGTTGAGACTTGAAATTTAATAAAGTGGAGTTAAATCCTATAGAGGTGTAGGTCGTGGTTTTTACCCTTGTGAGTTGGGATTTTCCGCGATAAAATATTGTGTCATTATTTTATTTGCTTCACAAAAATGTAACTGCTGTAATTCTGCAAAGGAACATATAGAATAAACTTGTTCCTAAGGCGAATTTGGGGATCAGAATTCCAACAATTGATATCAAAGTAGGTTATCTTTAAAGAGTCTAATAACTCAAGATACGATCATAATGAATTCTGCACCTCCTCTTGGACATGGTCAAGGGCAACACATCAACAGACCATCATTATTTAATGGAGAATACTACTGTTGGCGGAAGACAAGAATGGAAGACTTCATTGAAGCCGAAGATTACGAACTATGAGTTAGAATAACTAATCGACCATTAATTCCTACTATTACTGATTGTGAAGGGAATAAGGTACCAAAACCTACAGAAAAATACGGGGAAACCGATTACAAGATGTTAGGAAAGAATGTAAAAGCTAAGTGCATTCTCGTATGTGGATTAGGACCTGATGAGTTTCACCGCATCTCTAGTTGTACTTCTGCAAAAAATAAATATGACACACTTTAAAAAACACTCACGAAGGTACAACTCAAGTTCGTAAATTCAGAATTGCCAGACTTTGTTTAGAATATGAAGCCTTCAAGATGAAATTCGGAGAATCACCTCAAGATATGATCACCAGATTTACCACTGTTGTAAACAAGTTAATATCATTGGGCAAAGTATACACCACTAAGGAACAAGTAGACAAAGTACTAAGGACTCTGCCTAGATTATGGGAAATAAAAGTTACTGCAATCAAAGAAGCCAAGGATCTAACCAATATGACTTTGGATAAATTAGTAGGAAATCTCAAAACTTATGAGATGAATGTTGACAAAAGAGGTGAAGGAAACAAAAAGAAAAATCTTAGATTTAAAGCAACTGAAAGTGATGAATCTGACATAGATGATGATGATCTTGCTCTGATAAGTAAGAACTTTAAGAAACTCTTAAAAAGGGGATTAAACGCTAGCAAGAAATCACTATCCCAAAAAAAATAATATTGAGAGACCACAAAGCGGAGGCTGCTTCAAGTGTTGTAAGACATATCATCAGATCAAGGATTGTCCAATATGGGAATTAGAATGGAAAAAGGAAAAAACTGAAAAAGAAAGGAAGAAACTCTTTAATAAAAACAAAAACAAAAAAAGAACAAGCAATGTATGCAGCTTGGGGAACAGGTTATTCGGACATGTATGAAGAAAATGATGAGGACATTGTTTTGATGGCGATAAAGAATCAGATGCTGAACTTTAATCAGACTTCGAAGAACTTGAGGTAAATCTTCTTAACCTAAAAGATAAAGTAGTAAAGTTCTCTAAGAAAAAACTTCCATTCTTAGTGTTTGCTTCCATAGGCACAATTCAAGAACTTGTTAACACCAAGAGCCAACTGCTTGCTTTCTTATCTAGCTTAAAGTTTGAGCACATTGATCTTAATAAGAACAAACATGACCTTCAAGGTAAAATCAAACAACTTGAATCTCACAATCTGGAACTAAGAACTGAGAATCTAAAATTAAAAGTTCTTGGTAAAGAAAAAGGGGTGAACTGTCTGACAAAAAACTTGAGGTCGACAAACTCAAAAATAAATTAAAACTAGAAAAGAAAAAATCTAAGAGAATAAATCTTGAATTAACTAGGATAAGAAGTGATCTGGAAAGAGCAAATAAGTAGACAAAATCCTCTATGATAGTAACCCATCTTAACAATAATAGGAACACTAAAATTGAAATAGGGTATGAACAACCCATAAATGAGAATCCTATGTTTTGTATTATTTGTGGTATCTCAGGTCACTCTAAACAATATTGTCCTAAATACAAAGCTAGTGCAGAATATAATGCAAGAGGAACTTATAAAACTGTTCAAAGGAACAGATATACTCAAAGGAAAAATAATCTGCCCAAGTGGGCTTATAGAGATCTTATTTATCCTTTTGATCAAAACAAAGGACCCAAGCTAGTCTGGGTTCCTATATCTAACCTTTGAATTTGCAGGAAAAGTGAGAGGAAACATGCAACATTCACCAATTGAACATGTTGTTTCAAATGCATGATTGAAACTAGAAGAAATTTCTCTCACTTGAAATTAAAAAAAAAAAGAAACAGGAATGGATGAATAACATTGACTGAAAAGAAAAGGGGTTGAAAAAAAGAAGGGCAAAGACTGAAAGAAGCATGTGAAAAGAACATGTCCAACTATGCAGTATCTAACAATTATGTGCACTCAGATGATCAATCAATCAAAAATATGATCAGCCAAGGAAAAGACTTTCAAAAATAAAAATTTGGAACTTGGGGATGATTAATGTCACATGAGTATCTCTAAATGGCTAATGAACATTGCGCATACTGCCCTTTAATCTTGAATTATATGCTCAGTTTTGTACATTAAGTTGTATGTCTCTATACCACTTTTAAAGTCATGCTACTCATGCATTATAACATTGTATTTGCATCTAAGCACAGGAGAGAGACTTAGTAAAATTGAAGCAAAATTCAGCGTTATCCAGAGATCTAAGGTATGTGCACTACAATTATAAATGATTAAATCTAAAGTCAATGCACTTGAAACTATTTCTTCCACTTGTCACAAAAGATATCCATGCCCTAAATACTATCAAAACAAGTATCTTCTTAAAAAGCCCTATCCCAATATGATGGTCTATGGTTGAGATGAATTTGATGGAGGATACCTCTACTTTGGTGCCTTATAAATACAGATTAAGAAAGTAGAGTGTGCTGGTTCTTAGGGGAAATCTTTTGTATTGAGTAAAGTCTTGGAGGATTTACATTGTGAGGGGGAATATTTTGGAGACCCTATACTTGAACAAAGTTCACTTGTTAGGCTCAACTTGGGTGCATCTAGTAAGAAGGAATGTCGAGCCTAGTTCTTCTATTGAAAACCATACAAACTGGAATTTCAGATTGATATAAAAAAAATTATAGTTGGTGCTGCACTTGATAGTACACGTCCAGGAAACAGATTGAGAGAACATGTTCCTTTACAAATGATATTCAAGAAAATTTGTTCCTCTTGCTGACTCTATTGAAATTAAAGATGAGTGAACTATTGTTTCTACAGACGCAACATGATTGATTGAACAAATTCCTTAAAAGTGATATTAAAAAAAAGGATTGAGCGTGCATAGACCAAGGTTTCCTTTGAAATTGAGAAGGCTGCAAATTTT